TGCCGCATCCCCTCCATGGAGTGATTTCCGTCCAGCAGAAAAATGACTGAACGTGAGCTACTCCCCTTTCCTGTCATCAATAAAAGGAATAATTGCATGTTTGCAGAGAGAGGATAAACTTTAAGACTGCACATGAATTCTCATTTGCTGGTTGGTAAAAGAAAAAATAATGACATCAATATTGGAGGCCTGTATTCCACATAGGTCCTTAATATGATTTAATAATGCTTCCATAGCTAATAAAATAGACAAAGCACATTCATTCATGTTAAAATATCTAGTATGATTTTTTTTCTTAAATATAAATCGATAGATATGATGACATGAAAGTAATTTGTACAAAAAACAAAACAAAAAAAATATAAAATAAAAACTTTTGCTTCAAGTTCAAATATGAAGTATTATACAAATCAATCAAAACCTCCTCATAAAAAAACAACTCTCTGCATTGCAGGCAGGCTGCAATTTCCAGGGAGGGAAAACATTTGGTGGGTTTTGATAAGCGCGACAGCCCTACAATATCCAGCCATTAAATGATTGCATCCGGCTCTCCGCACTTAATTACGGTGATTATATCAGCGCTAACGCGACAACAATGACACAAAGTTTTAAGATGCAGACGGCGCAGGACGCACTTTCTCTCCAAGGAGGGCCTCGCTCTCGTGTCTGCGTGTTCAAACACTTGTTATTTACCGGCAACGCGTTTATTTCAATTACCCGTCTGCATGTCAAATAAGCTCCAGTGTTTATTAGCACAACAAAATATAATAAAACGCACTCTGGATTTCGGATGCGTGGGGGGAGGGAAGGAGATGTCGGATAAGTGGAGAAGGACCTGGTTCTGCTTTTAATAAAGAATGAGGAATTAGTGCATATTGATAGGACTTAATAAACGGAGGGGGGGGGGGGGGGGGGGGAGCATCATCAAACTAGTCGAGACTGAGCGGATCGTGGTTAATTTACTATGGGAGAGAGAAGGGGTGGGAGGGGGGTGTTAATGCGCGCGTCATGACGCCTTAGTATTTCCAAATGTGAGAAATGGCCTCTATTTGGATGAGAACGAGTTTGCGCGGATCTGAATGACGGTGAATTTACAGCGGGTTTATTCTGGGAGCTGTTCACAATGAAATGAGAGGTGGGTTGAAAGTTGGAAGGAAAAGAAACGCTTCTTGCAACAAGTTACAGTCCCGCCTTTAGGGGAAAAAAAATCTTAATTACTGTCCTCCTCCAGAGAGACGAACAAATAAAACACGGGAAGCAGCAGAAAAGCTTCTCACACGGCGGCAGAGGCGCACAGCATCTACATCTGATTATAGATGTGATTCTGGAGAGATCAGCGGTGCCGCAGTGAAAGCAAAAGTTTAGCCGGTTTCCTGATAATTAAGCAGGCGGGAGGCTTTCCTTTTATTCGGAACGCGGCGCTTCTCTGGATCCCAAATGAAATAACACCTCCCCTCCCTCCCCTGCAGCTATCGATCCGGGAAAGAGGTGTGAAATGGACATTAATTTTTAGTCCACTGCTCTGTGCGCAAAGAAGGGGAGCAAACGAGATCAGCGGCGAGCATTAACAGCTGACTGCTGAGGGAGAGGAACACAGAGGTGGCAGGAGGAGGGGTAGAATCAAAAGCGCTGACGAATAAATCATCTTTCGTTAGTTTTCCCTCGAACTCGACACTTTTCCTTCTCTTTTGTGCGCCTGCAGACTTTTTATGTAGGAAGGGCAAGGAGGGGGGAGAGAGACAGAGAGAGGATAGGCCTAAGTAAAAAAATAAAATAAGAAAATGAAGTATTTCGATACTTTCAATTACAAAGTGCACTTAAGTTCTTTCCCTTAAAAATAATTAATTAATCCTTTCATATTTTTGGATACATACATTATAAATTATTCTCATTATTCTTGTTCTCTGAATTTAATAACAGAGAGCACAAAATAGTTATAAATGAAGAAAAAATATAAATAAAAAAATAAGAATTATCTTAAAGAGAAATAAATACGTAAAGTATTAAAAAAGGCGTTTTAAATTTGCCTATGAAGCAAAGCCTGCTTCGTGTCAAATGACACGAGAAATAAGCGGCAGCCTATGAATCACCAAGTCTGAAAACAGCAGCCAAAAATAATAATAAAATCATACATCAGCGTCTGCGTGACAGAGTTTTACAGTCAGGCACGTTTAATTTGAAAAAAGTAACTATTTTAAAAATAATCACAATTAGTATACAGATAAAAATACAACTTTAAATTGCCCAAATTAAAAATAATGCCAATTATGCCAATGCTCTTTTAGTCCAGCGAGAGAAGCTGGACTAAAAGAGCCTTTAAATTAGAAACACTTTTAAAAAATGAAATTAGTTTAATACATCATTATAAGTTTCTTAATTCAAATGTAAAAATTTAACTGTGATTTGAAGCTTATTTTAGAAAACTGACACCACCACCTACGCAAAAAATGAACCTACTACTACATGCATGGATATCAACTTTGGAATATTAGTACTTTGAAATGTTATACAATAACACATTGATATATCGGGGGGAAATGGATAAGTATCGGAGCTTTTAGTGGAGAAATGATACCGCTAAATATGGAAGAAAGGAACGTTTTCTTCACCGGTAAATGAGAGCAAAATAAATTACAAAATTGTTCTGTCCCCATCGGAAGCCTCGGCTATAAATCACTGTTATCTATATGAGTAATTGGACATAATATGTCAGCAGCACATGTTGCCGTTTAAAAGATAATTATTGCTCGCTAATGTGTTTGGCTGGAAAATGAAAAAGGTTCGGCTGCTCTTTAGAAGTCAGGCCTCGTTGATCTGACAATCAATAAAATCAATCGAAAGTGATTCACCAGATCATTGGATCTGGACCCGGAGCAGAGTTTCTGATTTTTATTAATTCATTCATTTATTAATTTACTTATTCATTTATTTATTTCGGAGTGGCTATAATTGTGAGTTCAATGACCCGCCTCGAGTCCACCTTTGCTCCAAAATGCGTTTTTACGCGCGATTTACTGCCGGCGCTGAGAGGACTTTTTAACTTGGAAATTACTGCTAATAGGTGTGCCGCATTTTTCCCAGAATCCTAATTTTATTATTCCCTCTCAGAAGCGTTCCGTCTTTGCCCACTAATGCGCGTGGATGAGGGCGCGTGCTCGAGAGCTCTGTTGTTTCCTTCTATGAAGTCCGTCATAAAAAATATAAAATAAAATAAAAAGTACTGACTGACAAGGCCAGAGTACAGGGAGACTGCGAACAGAAGAGTGAGCAAAAGTTAAATATATATATTTTTAACTATTAACACGAGCTGTTTGATTCCTTGAGTCCTTAATCATTTAGAGAAATGGAAACAAATAAAATTCAACACGTCAGGCCTGAAGTGGATAGAGGAAACGCATAAACTACACAGACTATAGGGGCGTGACATCTGTTTGCCAAAGTGATACTTAAATAAAAGAAACGATCAAGTTAATTGTTAATGTCAGTAATAATTACTTTTATTATTTTTCCCGCCGATGAAGCACTGAAAAATGTTACAAATGTGGTCTTCCATAATGCAAACGCAGCAGCAGCAGCGGGAGCTGCCGCTTAAATGAATCCGCACTTTGCCTCTGTGTGCTCGGCCATGAAGCTGGAAGGCCCCCGGGACTTCCACCGGCTGGGTGCCGCATATCTAGTTTAGGGGGAAGGATGTAAATTGCACTGTGCTCCCTAGTTAACAGGTGTTTTCCAACAGAGTTGAGGCCCCGGTGTGTGTGTTTGTGTGTGTGTGTGTGTGTGCACACGCTTGCGTGTAAGCGCAAGGGAGTACACAAAGTGGCACTTTTTCTGTTTAAATTTACGCCGTCTGTTTCTGTGAGAGCTTCATTTTAAGAGGAGTATTTACAGCCGCTCGTGGCAGCAGAAGTAAATGCAAAATCACCTCGGCGTCTTTATTCTCCTCCTTTTTCTTGTGTTCCTTTTCAAATAATTCTTCAGTAATTGTATGATTTGAATAGATAATCGATATAAATATGAGTTCCAATTTGAAGATTAAAACGCAGAAGAGTTTAGAACGATGAGTGATGCCAAAGCTGTGGAACAGAAGTCCTTCGTAAACTCCTCTTTGCGCTTTTTGTGATGCATTAAAATCTGACTGATGTGAGTGTTTATTAAACCCCAGCTAACGGAGCCAATATGCGGCCGTTTGAGCCACATGCCTTCATCATTACGAGCGTTAGTGCTACAGAGCAACAGTAACTTCCACTGAAAACCGCCGGTGGAGGCATTCAGTGAGCTGGAACCCCTGAAACCTTCATGGGAAGAACTAAAGCCGAACTTTTAAATAAATATAGTCACAGCAGGCCCGCGACTGACGCTTATAATCGCCGGTTAATAAGACAAAAGTGGTCCCAGAGGAGGAGCAGAAATAATAAGGCTGTAAAATTTTATTTCATTTCTCTGACTGACTGCAGGCTTTGGCGATAATTCAGGTGGCTTCCAGCAGCTGTGATCCGTCTTTATCTCCAGTGATGATGTTTAAAGTTTACAAAGTTCAGCCTTTGGTTGCAGTGAGATCGCGCGGTGCGGCTGTAGGGCGGTCGTGTTCGGCCATGGTAATGTACGCACAATGTCATCCACACACGCACAAATAATGCGAGTGCTTTCAAGAATCTTGTTCTTGTTTGGGGACCTCGCATATGCGCATGCACGCGCGCATATATAAAGAGACAAACAAATCTAAACGCACACGCATTCACGAAGAGATTTGTTTGTATAATTATGTATATATATATATATATATATATATATATATATATATATATATTTCATTCTTTTCCACGCGTGGAAATCTCCTCGCGCAGCACTTACAAATCCCCGAGAAAAAGTTTCCCGACTCGAAACGCGCTTCCAAAGCGGAGAGAAGCGGCGGAAAGGTGTGGAAGCACAAACTGTGTGAGCTTCAAACCCAACAATAACAACAACAACAACAACACAAAAAAACTCCGAGTGTTACTCACCTTGCCGTGGATGAATCCGCTTTTCATAAAGACGACTCCCGGGTTTCCGGCTTCTTCTTCTTCTTCTTTTTTATCCTCACAAAAAGCTGAAAACTTTTCTGCGGGTAGAGTATCAGCAGCTCTGGCCCCTGTGGCTCTTGCGCAGCAGCGCCGGAGATAACGGGAGGCGCTTTGGACAAGCAAAAGTAGTTAACACCTCCCTGTTAGTTTACCAAAGAGCAGCCGGAGAGGAGGAGAAGAGCGCGAGGGAGAGAGAGAGAGAGGGAGAGAGAGAGGGTGACTTTCCACAGACACACTATAAAGTGGGTATCAATAGCGCAATCGCGCGTGCAGCCCCTCTATCGAAACACCGAGAGGGACGATCAGTGCGAGAAAGAGGACTGAAGCCGGCGAGAGAGCGCAGGATCGCAGAGACAGCGGCAGGCGTGAGCGGTGGCGTGAGGGGGGAGGGTGGTGTGAGAGTGTGTGTGTGGAAGGGGGAGGGAGGGGGGTGCTCAATAGCGACGTGTGTGAGGCTGGAGCTGGGCTGCGCGAGGCTCTGAGAAGGGAGTGTGGGGGTGGATGGGGAAGACGGGGGAGGGAGCGGGTGTCCTGGGTCCAGTGCGCTCTGAGGTGCAGTGCTGCCGCGCAGCGCTCGGGTCGCTAAATGACTGACAAACACACGCAGACCGTCTGTGTGCCCCGTCTCGGGTAAAACTCCACACTTTCACTTCATAATCGTTTGCGAACCATTTTGATGTGAGCGTGTTTATCGTGCGTGGCCTTCACAGCGGCCCGAGTCAGGAAAGCTATCTTTCCTTCCCTGGGAACGAACGAAAGAAAGATATTCTTTTAGTAACCTAAAAGTGTTAATATCCCGAGAGCGTTTAACGTGCGTTTAACATTCCTGCCGTTTTAATAACTTAATCTAAGTGACATTTCGTTTTCGAATTCCACAAAAATAAAACGTAATTAAGGCCTTTTTTTGGTTTTTTAAGTTTTTATTTTTCTTTTCTTTTTTGTGGGGGGGGGGGGGGGGGTGTTTGTTTTTTGTTTTACGAATGACCAACCTCGCGCATGTGTGGAGACTGTTTCTTAACACCACACCATCCCATCTCCCCCTCTTGCCTCTCCCCTCTGTCTGGTGTTTCGTTCCCCTGGGTGATTTCCACTGCGCTTTGTGCGCAAAGTGAATGAATTATCCCCCTTCTCTCTCTCTCGCTCCCTCTCTCTCCCTCTCTCTCTGTGTTTTCCTCTTTCACCAGATGGAGAGACTTCTATTTGCCATAAAGCCAATGAAGTCCACCTCTTAACAAAAAGAGGTGGACTACCAGACAGTCTTATAAAGTGCGCACTAGAGACTCAAGTTAGTCACACAGAAGGAAGTTCACTAAACCCGGAGCTGTGCGCTAAAGTCCCAGCCAAGATCAACCAAACCTGCAGAATATTAACAAGACAGATGATTTTTTTTTATTAAGTTGAGAACGTATTATTATTATTATTATTATTATTATTATTATTTAGTACAGTACTAAACTTATTCAACTCAGCCCTTAAGGTAAACGTTTTTAAGGATTTGTTGAAATGTATTTTCCTTAGCTTATGTCTTTTTTTGCAGCTTCTGGTATAATCCGCCTGTTAACTAGAGTCATATTTCTGAAAAGAAAAAAAAAGGCATTTGGAGTGTGCTGAAATTACTCAAACTCAAAGACACAATGAGTATATGTGCATGTTAGAGTGAGTGAAAGACAGTGAAGGCGCTTTGCTGTCCCCTGTCTCCTTCTCCATTACACTCCTCTGCTGGTCAGACGTGGAATTGACCAACATCACAGACTGCTTTACACACTTGTCTTCTAAGCTAACTTCTTTTGTGCAAGTGGTGCATTTTATCTGCTGGATTAAAAAAAACTATAAGAAAACAACTACGTATGGAAAAAATATAAAACCACTTTGTGACACCTTCATCAAAAACAAACAAAAACATGAAGGAGTGTCGACTGAAAAAAGGCATTTTTATAACAGTGTACAGACACAAAATAAAGGGGGACACTAAGTTTTGTTTTATATCAGAATTCCTGGCAATAAAGATTTATCACAGAAGAAAGCCCACTCGTCCTTAATATGCCACAAATAAGTAAAAGGAGATCTGAGATCTATAAATCACTCCTCTCCTGCTATAAGGGACGGTCATTATTATACACTTTTTTTCTCACATCAGCATTCAAGACATAATCTACCTCAGTGTGCAAACAAGAATTCCAGATTTCTGGTGCGAGGATTAACACAATGAAAACAATTAACAACTTGTGCAGATTAGACCTGCTTCTTCAGGTCTTCATACATGGCCTCAAACATATTTAGTCAGAGTGGTTGCCTTTCCAGTGGAACTCACACTTTGATCTGAGTTTCACGCTATAATATACTGATGTTTTAGCTAACAATACCGTGGGAAACGGGTTTTGTGTGTGTGTGCTGGGTGGTCTCCAAACACATGAGGGGCAGCAGCAGCAGTAGCAGTGCCATTAGTGATGTGTTGTCTTGCTAATAGGCTCAGTTTGGAGTCAATGGGGTGACTGAGGAAGAGGGCCATCCATGTATTAGATCCCCCTCCATTCAAAGTCTAATGGCACCCTTAAGTCCCCCCCCCGTTGTTTTTAAATGCTGCCTCTGTGTGTATTGACTAGGAAGCAAGGAAGCACTTTGATTCACCTGCACCTGTTTCACTGCTCAGCTATCTGTGCTGCCCCCTCCCTTTTAGCTGAGCATGACATCACTCGAAACAACTTCCTAGTAAGAAGTTAAAACTTGACCAGTTTGAAATGGTGCAACTTTAAATGAGCTGTGGGCATCTGTTTGTTGACAGTTTGGACCGAAGGAAGAGCAACAAAAAATGGTTAAATTGGGTTTAACTCGAAAACTAGTATGTGCTGGTTTTCAGAAAGATTCTTGGGGAGTCTCTCGTCATTAACTGTGGTTTTGTTGAAACTCCGTACCTGTGTGGACTGTACGGCTCTATAACAGCATCACACTATTTCCCTGGTGCTCTCAATAAAGACAGTCACAGTTTTAACAAATGGTATCTGGCACCCTTTAACATTGCTGGCTCTACAAAGTGCTTTAAAATGTGTTTCTGGTGTGAACACACAACCACATTCACCTGGCGTCTTGCTACTTGGGTAAATGGATGGCTGAGGGACTGAATCACCACCTGGCCACTGATGGATAACTACTTGAGCCAAGGTCACTTCAAGAACTGCTAGAAGGCTTTGTGAAATTTAATTTCAATAAGCAATAACTAGTATTTTAATCAGTAAGAGTCTGCATCCCCAACATGATCATAGAAACCTCTGGGCAAGATCGCTGGATTAAAACAGCAGAAAAGTATCTGCCTGGACTCCCAAATCCTACAGCACTTCTACATGTTATTAGACTCGGGTTAGGTTAACATCAGGACTCGTTTTCTTCTCAGCAGGTTTCTTATATCCATCTGAACTGAGTCATGTTTTGGTGTTATGAAACCCCTGACATCTCCAAGTGATAATGAAAAGCCGAGCTGACAGCAGAGGGCCAGGACTGCCCTCTCGCAACCTGCTTTCACCTCGGCTTGGCCGGGTTTATCCTTAAATTGAATTCCTTTTTTTTAAAGCTCCAGAAGAGGCGGGCTAGACTGAGCCGAGTGCAGTGGAGAGGGTGTTGAGACAAGCTGTGCTCTGCCTTTGTTTGTGTTGCTTGTTGGCCTCACTATCAGACATTCGATTTAAATGGAAAAGCACAGAAAACAGGTGCAGTGAAGGCATGTTGCATCTTTTTTTGATCTGGCTGGTCTATAAACAGATAAAGACAATGCTTCACACCAGGAAGCCCTTCTGTATTTTATGGTTTGAACCCATAATCCTTTGATATTTTAAGGCAGCTCATACTTGACCCTCCCTACCACCCAGTGACTTTAGAAATACCCTGTAATGTCCTTTAACACCACATGGGACTTAATTCCTTAAACAAACCGTGTTTGAGTGTGATTTAGAGCTAATCTGGACAGGCGACGGTCATTTCTATCTTTCCTTTAATAATTTACGATTGGTGGAATTTATAGCACTGGCTCCCCAGCCGTGCATGCCGCCAAATCCATATGTCTGTAATATAATGAGATTTTAGCGCAGCGAGAGTATAAATTATGGTGTGATTTGTTCTCTTGCTGTTTTGTCAGGGCACAGCCTTTGAGAGTGTGTGTGTGTATGTAGCTTGGGGACATGGCTGGCATTTGGCTGCCACAACGCTCTAATTGCTGACGTACACACAGATAGATGGGACCTGATGGTTGGTGTCGCCACTGGAGGGAGAGAGGAGGAGGAAGAGATGGGAAAGGAGAAAGAGGGGAGAAACAAGGGTTTAGGAAAAGAAAGAGGACAGATCAGGAAAGATGAGGAGGGGAGGAGAACAGGGGAGCAGATGGACAGATAGACACATGGAGAGACAAGTGCGAAGGAGGGATAATGTCTTATGGCTGGAGATCGAACTTCCTGCAGCTCCACAGCCAAGCGGGTAACCACACAGAGGGAGCCACATTTAGAGAAAAGAGAAGCAGAGATGGAGAGAGGAGGGCCAGACTCTGCCACATTCATCTCCCTCTCAGATCCGATGCTCCAGGGAGCTGTTGGAAAATGAAGAATTACATGGCCCTGATCAGATTACATTACCGAACAAGTGATTACATGCATTTGACTCTTGTACAAAGGAACAAAAATGAAGGAAGGGAAGGGAAACATACATGATCTGATTAATTATGTAATTATTTGGTATTTGCTCTGGCTATGATACATGGGTAACGTTCTGAGGGAAGGTAGACTGGTAATTTCATCAATGTTTCACTGCCTGCCATCTAAACCTGCCTTCATATAAATGTTGAATTTGTTCCAGTTGCCAGTGGTAGAGTTGAATACTGTACGCTTAAAGCATTTTCTATCATTGTATTTCATCGGCACGACAAAAAAAAGGGGAAAAGACGTGGAATCAGAAAACCTATGAAATACAAACGTTTGACAAAATGAATCATACTTGACGTGCCAGTTTCAGGCAACAATTCCTACTAAAACTGATCGCCAGATAATTATTGTAAAAATAAACTATTTTTAAATATCCTATATGATGTGACATTAGCAACACATTATGTATTCAGTATCTATGTCATCTCTGTATCCAAGACTCTCGTCCCTCTCACCGAGATTTAAAAAAAAAACTGCAGAACTTGTCAAAAAAAAAGAAAAGAAACTTTTCTCTTAAACTAACAAAAAAACTGTAGAGTTAAGTTCAGAGAAATATTGAGGCTGTGACAAAATTGCTATTAAGGCTATATGACTGGAGGATGGTTAGACAATATTTTTTATTTCAGAAAATAATAATATTTAACAATAAAAAATGTAGTTACAAAATC